GACGAGGAGCAGAAGAGGCTAGAGCGGTTTGGGAGGCTCAGGCCCTCAGAGTTAAATGAGGCTTAGTCGGAGGATCCTCAGGGTTTCTTAAACAGATGCCAGCGGATCTTTCGCAAGGTGGGTTTTCTGGAGACTAGTGTAGTCTCATTTACTACTTTTCAGCTGTTGGGGGCTGCATTCAGATGGTGGGACGCCTATGAGTTGAGCAGGCCATCCGGCGCTGCACCACTTACGTAGCACGGGTTCTCAGTTCTCTTTTTAGAGGAGTTTGTTCCACAGACCCGCAGAGAGGAGTTGCGTAGGCAGTTAGAGCAGCTACGCCAGGAGGGTATGTCAGTGACCTAATATGATATGAGATTTTCAGAGTTGGCTCGTCACGTGATCTGGTTGGTTCCCACAGAGAGGGGGGGATTAAGAGGTTCATTGATGGCCTCAACTATGGACTGCGCTTCGTCATGACTCGGAAAATTGCATCTGGTGCTAGGTTCGACGAGGTGGTTGATTTTGCTAAGCGACTAGAGCAAGTTCGTAGTCAGGAGCGTAAGGAGAGGGAGACCAAGAGGCCTCGTGGTTCAGATGGTTTCAACGGTGTTTCTTCTGGAGGACAGTCCTACCACGGCAGGGGTCGCCCATATATGCCCACTCAGATGGCTCGTCCGGTTCATCGTGGTGCATCATCTAGCATGGTTCATACAGTGCTCGTCCGGGTTTGTCATCTCTCAGTGCCCTTCCAGCTCAAAGTTCATCCCGTACTCCATCAGTTCAAGCTTCATCTGCACCAGGTCCTTCTAGTAGATATTCTGGTTCTCGGGGTCCAATTCAGTCTCCACTACCATTGATAGATCGGAGTTGCTATGAGTGTGTGGAGTTTGGACATGTGAGAGATATTGTCCCCCTCTTTTAGGAGGTCTAGTTCAGCAGAGGGGTCAGGTTATGACTTCTGCACCAGTTACTTCACCACCCGCTCAGCCAGCTCGGGGTGAGACTCAGGCAGCTAGAGGTCGCCCTAGATGGGGAGGTTGATTAGGTGGCAGTGAGGCTCGATGCTATGCTTTCCCTGCTAGGCCATAGGCCGTTGCTTCAGATGCAGTGATCACAGGTATTATCTCAGTATGCCACATGGATGCTTCCATATTATTTGACACTGGTTCCACTTATTCATATATATCATCATTGTTTGCTCGTTATTTGGATATGCCCCGTGAGTCTTTAGATTTGCCTGTTCATGTATCTACGCTGGTGGGCGATTATATTGTTGTGGATTGTGTGTATCGGTCGTGTGTGGTGACCATTGGGGTATTGGAGACGAGAGTTGATCTCTTATTGCTTAGTATGGTTGATTTTGACGTGATTCTGGGCATGGATTTGTTGTCCCCATGTCATGCTATTTTGGATTGTCACGCTAAGACCGTGACACTGGCTATGGCTGGTTTACCTAGGATCGAGTGGAGAGATTCTCTGGACTATGTTCCCAGTAGGGTGCTTTCATATCTGAAGGCCCAACGGATGGTTGGGAAGGGGTGTTTGTCATATTTGGCTTTTGTGAGGGATGTTGATGCTGATACTCCTACCATTGATTCTGTTCTGGTAGTGTGAGACTTTCTGGATGTGTTTCCTGTAGACCTGCCAGGCATGCCACCCGACAGGGACTTTTATTTTGGTATTGACTTGGTGCCGGGCAGTAAGCCCATTTCTATTCCTTTGTAGCGTTTGGCACTAGCAGATTTGAAGGAATTGAAAGAGCAACTTCAGGAGCTTTTTGATAAGGGGTTTATTAGGCCTAGTGTGTCGTCTTATGGTGCACCGGTTCTATTTGTGAAGAAGAAGGATAGTACTATGCGGATATGCAATGGCTATAGACACTTGAACAAAGTTACGGGGATGTTTCGAAATGAATTGGGACACTTAGTCCCACGGTTGGAAGCTCAAGTTGAAAGAGTTGACCGGATATTTAATTATGAGTAAACGACTCCAAAATGAAGTTTTAATGGTTCCGATAGCTTTGTATGGTGAATTTTGAATTAGGAGTATGTCCGGATTTTGATTTGGAGGTCCGTAGGTCATTTTCGCTTGAATTTGCGAAAGTTAGAATGTTGAAGGTTTGGAAAGTTGAGAAGTTTGACCGAGAGTTGACTTTGTTGTTATCTGGCTTGGATTTTGGTTCTGGAAGTTGGAAGAGGTCCTTTGTATCATTTATGACTTGTGTGCAAAATTTGAGGTCAATTAGAGTTGGTTTTATAGGTTTCGACATCGATTGTAGAAGTTGGAAATCCATTAGTTTCATTAGGCTTGAATTGGGGTGCGATTCATATTTTTATTATTGTTTGATGTGATTTGAGGCCTCGGCTAAGTTTTTATCGTATTTTAGGACTTGTTGGTATATTTGGATGGGGTCCCGCGGGCCTCAAGTATTATTCGTATTGAAAACGGATTGAAATTTAGACTTGTGGAAGTGCTGGTGTGATCAGGTCTGGTGCAACCGCACCAGCATGAAATGAGTCGCAGGTGCCGTTGGCAATGCGCAGATGCAGAGGTGAGTTGGTGACTGTTGCATCGCAGAAGCGGAACAGAGCGAGTCTTGAGGGGGTTAGGTATTTTCGCAGAAGCGGACATTAGTGCGTAAAAGCGTGTCTGCAGATGCGTTCCGCACGCGCACGTGCGCTGTCGTAGTTGCGGTCTTCAGGCCACAGAAGCGGAGTGGCGGAACTTAAGTGAGTTTCGCAGGTGCGGAACTTTAACCGTAGATGCGGTTCCACAGAAGCGGATCATGGACTGCAGGTGTGAAAGTACTGGCAGTGTTATAATTCAAAAGGGTTCCGAGTTTTCTTCATATGTGGACTTTGCAAGCTCGGCTAGTGGCGATATTTTAGAGGGATTTCATTAGATTTCAAAAGGTAAGCAACTTTGGTCATTTTTATTCATTAATATTGAATATCTATTGAATTTCTCACCTAGATTAGGTATTTTTGAGGTGAAATTTGTGGAACTTTGGACTAGGGATTTGAGAGTGAGATTTAGAGGTTTGAAGGTCGATTTTGGTCGGAATTGGATAGCTTTGGTATGGTTGGACTCGTTATTGAAAAGGTGTTCAGATTTTTAAAATTTTGTCAGGTTCCATAGGTTGACGTTTTGACTTTGGTTAAAGAACTTAGCTTTATCGTATGGAATCAATTCCTATAACTTGTATTGATTGTATTAAGTTGTTTGTGGCTAGATACGAGTCGTTCAAAGGCCGATTCGCGAGGCAAGGGTTTGTTGGAGTGGGATTTGCACAATTTGAGGTAAGTAACACTTCTAAACTTGGTTCTGAGGGTATGAATCTCTGAAATACGTGTTATGTGGTTGGTATTGAGATGACGCATATGCTAGGTGACGGGCGTGTGGGCGTGCATCGTGGTAGTTGTGCCTCGGTTGATTCTGTGGTACAGTGTAGTTATCAAATCTTGTTGCTATTCATGTAATCCCTACGTGTTAGAGTAATTTCGCTATAATTCATGTTAGAAATCATGTTTAGGCTATATGCTTATTCTGTTGGGACCCACTGAGGTCATTTTTGCTATTGAATTATTTGCTTATATTGCAATTATATACTCAGACACATCCATCATTTGCATAATATATCTCAGTCTCTGTTGTCATTTATTGTTACATCATGTATCATTATTTGAGCTGGTGGCATGAGATTTGTGAGCCCGAGAGACTGGAGAGATTGATGACTGAGTTGGGGCCTGAGAGCCGTGTTCTGAGTGAAGTTGTGGATCGGGCTAGACACCGCAGCATGCCATATTGATTTTATATTAGCACGTGGGAAGATCCGCCCCTCCGGAGTCTGACATACCAACAGTAAGCGCAGGTGTCGTACAATGCTGAGTGATTGAGAGTGATGAGTGAGGAATGTGAGACAATGAGATTGAGTATTCTGAGAGCGTGAGTACATGGGTTTATCACTGTGATGCATTACATGTGACATGCACATTTGACATGTAGATATAGAGACGTAACATTCCTCATATAAGTTATACTTGGCATATTTTATCAGTGTTGAGCTTAAACTGTTAAACTTGAAAACATGTCTACATTTTTGTACTGGGTAGAAATTGATTATGGGATTTCATTGAGTTATTACTGTCATTTTCCCTGTTTTATCTGTATTGTTATTATCTGGATTTGGACTGTACCTTTTTGAGCTCGTCAATGCTTTCAGTTCATGGTTAGTCCTGTTACTTATTGAGTACATTGGGTCGGTTGTACTCATACTACACTTTGCATTTCGTGTGCAGATCCAGGTACATATGGACCCGATGGTTACTAGACTCGAAGCAGAATCTTCTACGAGACATTTGAGATAGCTTCTTTGACGCCCGCATACCTCGACTCTCCTTCTTTTCAGTTTTATTTTGTACTATCTTTCATATTAGAGATTTAGACTGTGTTGATATTTAGTAGCTCATGTACTCGATGACACCCGAATTTTGAGAATTTTGTATTTAAGTCATCGTTATTCTCATCGGTTATTTATGAGATTTTTTTCACTGTTAAACTTATTACATCATGTTTTTAATTAAAAATACGTAGTTATTTGTGATTGTTGGCTTGCCTAGTACTGTGATAGGTGCCATCACGACATGTTGAGATTTGGTTCGTGACAGTTAAACTTGCCGCATATACTATACACGGGTGGTTTTTACTTAATTGGGTCGGGTATTTTGGTGTCAGCGGAATAACCTTAAAATATGATCTTTACAAGGCATGGTAGATGTAATAAACTATTTAATATTAAAAGAAATTCCAACTCATGAGTTCTGTCGCTGAAAAGGAGCTTCAACGGTGTCTTTAATTTGATTTTTGGAACATTTTTCCAATAGTTGAGTGACTACTAAGTACTGATTTGGTCAATTTGAGTGAACACTTAGAGAAATTTACACCAAATTTGTAATGTAAAATTTCATAGGTATTCTCTATGACAGACTAATTTGGTAAAGACTTGATAGAAATGTCACTTAAAAGCTTTTAAAAGCACTGCTTATTATCATTTAAAAGCACTTGATAATAATAGGAAAAGACTTTCTATTACACCATATGAACATTTAAAAGCAGCACAGAGGTGAGAGACAGTCTTATTCTGTAGTCCATATCGTGCTTCTAACTAAGACTCATAGTAACACAGCAAACACCTTTCACCTTTCCAATTACTAGCTAGTACTTATTATATTCTGTGAACATACTATATATTTTGTGAAACTTAAGAGTAGGTTGGCTTCTCCAGATCCTCGAGAGCGCGAAAGAAGGCCTTCTGTTCCAAGACAGAGTCGACAAGGCAACCAGGGTCACCGCAGATAATATGATGTGTGGATGGCCCAAATATCCCAGTTTGAGGATGAGGAGTCCAGTACTTGTCTGATCTCACCCCGACTATTTCATCAGGTACCGATGAAATATATTCCTCTGGATTCCTGTCATACACTGATATGTGTACCGCCCTCCTGCACCTACTACACCAGCCATTTAATTCAAGATTAATAAAATGGCGAATAGCTAGTACTAATTCACTACAAAAATAGCTCGTCTGCAAGAAAGCATAAAAGGATACATAAAAGAACTAAGCAAAGACATATATATGTACAAAATTATACCAGGCAGAGAGGGTAGATGAGTTAGCAGAATTGGCGCAGCTGAATTGGTTCAGAACTCGCTTCCTCAAGCTCACAAGTCCACGGTTCTGTAAAGTGGTGGCCATACAATATAGTTTTCTTTGAAGAAGGAGTAGTAGCTTGTTTTCTTACAATCTCTCTTACACAGTAAGCAAATGAGTTAAGAAGAAGAGCGAAGCGCTATGTCATAAGCTACACATCTGTTTCCCTATTTATAGTGTAAAACCCCACAGAGAGTGGAGTATAAATAATTCTGTGCACTTCCACAAGTCCAAATAATAATAAGCTTTTACCTAGTACAGAAATTTATTTCCATCACGTCATTGTCTCTTCCTTGGTCCACAATTACCAAGTTTGATTGTCCGTTTATCTAACGCAAAATCCATGTTAAATCATTTTTATTAATGGTACACAGCAGAGTATTAAATCTAACACTGAGATAACCAAAAGTAGCAATAAAAAATAATAATCCTTTTCGAGAATAATTTATTTCTCCATCTGACTCAAATTATCTGTCGTGATTTCTAAAATAGTTGTATCAAATTATTTGTCATTTTAGAAGTTCAAAACAAAATTAATTATTATTTTCCCACTTCACCCTTAATGGTAATTGTTCTTGAAGATGTAGATAACACATAAATAGAGTAATAGTTTAAAATTCATTCTAATTAATATTTTCTTAAGGAATGTATAAAAGGGAAACACGACAAACGGAGGGAGTTCTAGTGTTGATCACTAATGAAAATTAAAGTCGTCCATAATCTTAGTCCGGAATCAAAATGTTGTCTTTTTGGACTTAAAGCACAAAAATAGGTGGAAAAAAAAAATTGAGAACCATTTTATATATAACGCATTTCTTCACCGCGCTATACCTTAAAGATATGTTTGTCCGTTAAGGTATAGCGCATGGGTTACATGCGCTAAATTTGAACTTTAAATTGGCGGGCAAAGTTTACATATAATGCATATGCAGGATGCGCTATACTAGAAGTTGGAAAGACAGGTAGGTATAGTGCATTCTATATATGCGCTATACCTATATAAAATATCGGGCCAGTCTTCTTCC